AGGAAGAGTATCCCCTGTTTGTAAATGCACCTGTTGCGCCATTACAGTGTCACAATTTCAAAATTAAATTCTTTGAAATTAAGTAACTTAGTGCAAGAGCCATTTGTATTCTTGATATCTTTTTTTCTTCTTTTTTTCTTCTTTTTTCTTCTTTTTTTCTTGCGACTTTTCTTAAAAGAAATTACAAAGACGACATGATTCCTCAGACCCATTTTAATTAACAAGGTTTTTCCTTGTAACAGCATCAAATGCACTTCGGTATTACATTAATGTCGTCTTCTTATTCTTCAGTTTTCTGGTTATCACTGTATCTAATTTAGAATTATAACGGCGGAAAGAATTCCTTAGGTTCAATCAAACTTGCATACGGTGAATCCTATTTGAACATAACATATGGTAAACAGAACTCCACACAAGTAAGATTAAAGGGAATTACGGGTTTAAGGATAGAACAACCTTGAACCAGACACAAACTTATTGTTGTTCCTTTTATGAAAGCAATATGGAACCTTTTCAGCGAGTATGCCTGTCAAACCTACCGATATTGGAACACTACATTTAAGGTTTGCTGGAACTTGCCATGAGCCTTGAACTAACATAATTTGTGAGAATTCTCTTGCTAAGACAATTTGCCAAGTTTGCCCAGTCTATTTTGCATAGTTGGAATCCACTGATTTGGCAAGTTGGATCGATATCTGCATATTCTCTACAGTACAACATCGGAAGTAACATTGCAAATATCTCTGACGAATTCTCTCTAAATATAATAAACAGCCTACCAAGAGCCCTCTTTGAAGAATGCGGGCCGCTCACCATTCAAGAAGAAGATAATATCGAATGTCTGCAGCATCTCCTGTTACAGCTCCGCGACTGAGTGACTGGTTAAAGTTGTTAGTTCACAATTTATGTAAAAATTGCATTATAGTCATATATAATCTCTAATCTAATATCTAAACCAAATATTATTGTTCGACAAATAAATGATAATTATATATTTTAAAGGGTCTGTAAATTAAATCTTAAGTGAACCTCTATGTAAAGATGATAATACCCAATTTACAACGGTACCCCTGAAACCTTTGTTTTTATCAGATATCTCTTTATATTGACAGGGATAAACTACCAAGATTAGGTACAAATCCCTTTATATTTACAGGGATTAACTATCAAGATTAGATAACAGTCACTTTATATTTACAGGGAGTAACTATCAAGATTAGAAAACAATCACTTTATATTGACAGGGAATAACTGCCAAGATTAGGTATCAATCTCTTTATATTGACAGGGATTAACTAATAAGATTGGGTAACAATCTTTTTTATATTGACAGGGACTAACTACCAACATTAGGTAACATTCCTTTAATATTGACAGGGATTAACTATCAAGATTAGACAACAATCCCTTTATATTGACAGGGATTAAATATCAAGATTAGGTAACAATCTCTTTTTATTGACAGGGATTGACTACCTAGATTAGGTAACAATCTCTTAATATTGACAGGGGTTTACATCCAAGATTAGGTAACAATTACTTTATATTGACAGGAATTTACTACCAAGATTAGGTAACAATCCCTTTATATTGACAGGGATTAACTACCAAGATTAGGAAATTATTCCTTTATATTGACAGGGATTAACTACCAAGATTAGGTAACAATCCTTTTGTATTGACGGGATTAACTACCAAGATTAGGTAAAAATCTCTTTATATTGACAGGGAATAACTACCAGGATTAGGTAACAATCCCTGTATATTGACAGGGAATAACTACCAAGATTAGGTAACAATCCCTTGTATTGGCATGGATTAACTACCAAGATTAGGAAATTATTCCTTTATATTGACAGGGATTACCCATCAAGATTAGGAAACAATCCCTTTATATTGACAGGAATTTACTACCAAGATTAGGTAACAATCCCTTTATATTGACAGGGATTAACTACCAAGATTAGGTAACAATTCCTTTATATTGACAGGGATTAACTATCAAGATTAGGTAACAATTCCTTTATATTGACAGGGATTAACTATCTAGAGTAGGTAACAATCCTTTTATATTGTCAGGTATTTACACCAAGATTATGTATCAATCTTTTTATATTGGCAGGGATTAACTACCAAGATTAGGAAACAATCTCTACGAAGATTAGGTAACAATCCCTTTATATTGATAGGGATTAACTTCCAAGATTAGGTAACAATCCCTTTATATTGACAGGGATTAACTTCCAAGATTAGGTATCAATCCCTTTATATTGACAGGGATTAGGCAATCTATATGTATATTTGCTTCTAAGAAGGGGGTTCCCTTCAAAACGTATATTATGACACTGTATAATTTGTTGGAAAGTGAACCCCCCCCTATGGTCAAAACGGGTGGGGGGGGGGTGTAGATTCACAAAACCCTATAATTTTTTCACCCGAAAAATAGAGTGCAACCGCAGTCATTCCGAAGTCGGGCGATGGTTAAAAAAATCCGAACTTTTATCAATTGAGGAGTAAGCTACAATTTACATTTTTGAACATTTAAATAAAGAAAAAAACTTTTTTATCCTTTTAATAAAGGAACAAACTTTTTGTAAAGTTTGTCCCAGGATAGACATGAAATTAAAATTTAGATACAAATTTGAGAAAACATTCATAAAATTGCTAAACTAGATTTTTTGAGAGAATTATTAAAAGTCATAGAAAATTAGAAATTCAAATTTTTTTTTACAGAAACAAATTCCAAGGATTAATAATTGTCTCTCTTTGAAAGGTGAATATTTGCATTTTATTTACATTTTACAAATTGAACAATGTACAAAAATTAAAATTAAAAGAGTTGAAATTACTGCAGCTTTTAAACTGTTTTAACTGTTTTAAACCTTCCGGCTGATGGTCAATAGTTTGAGATAATCCAAATCTGAGCCTGGCAAAGGAAATGGCGATTTTTTTTAAAAATCCGCAACATTTTTTCCTTCTTTGTTTTAAAATGAAAACAAAAAGAACATGTTCACAATTTAAATAGAAGATGGGCGCAAAGCGCCCTAAAAGCCTAGTATCTTACATTTTTGTATTTCAGAACAATTTCAAAACTTCAAAAAATTCTTTCCTCAGAAACAGAAATAAATTCTAGTAATTGTATTAAAAATAAAAAAATGTTATATTTTATTGAGCTGTAAATCTTGTAATTAATTAGTAAATTTTTCAATTGTTAGTTCATGTAAAAGCAAATGCAACATCAAGTCGAATGTTGAAATATGCGAACTATTATTTTGTAGATAAAATAAATAAATAAATTTGGAGACAGTCAAAAATGAATTGATACGGAAATTGAAAAAAAAATAATTTTGTCCTTGTTGTGTGAAAAGGGCAGATGAAATAAGAAATCCATTTTTAAAATAGCAAAGTAATGATTGAGAGTAAAAAGTGAAAAGTTTGAATTTCCAGCTTGTATGTAGAGAAGAAGTTTTTTGTTTCAAACTACATATTTTATGTGTTTTTTAAAATAAGTCAATTAAGTACAACAACTTTCTTTTATGAATGTCATTTAAAAAAATTGGATTTACTTAACAACTTCGTGAAACATTTTTTAATTAGAAAAATATTTTGTTAGGATATGTTACTAGAAACTATTTAAGTTCCTTTTTGAAAAAAACTGGCTTATACGTTCTATAAGCTGGCTCTTTTTGGCCCATGGGTTCTTATTGGTTAAACTTCATAGATCTCAACAGGATTTAACTTATTTCAATTGATACGGATTAGTGGGTTATATTAAATCCAAAAGTTGAGACTTCTAATAATCATGCATAGCTTTAAACAAACAATAGTGTCTTAAAAACAATCTAAATAAATTTATATTTTAGAACGGAAATTTAAGGAAAACATATTTATAATTTTTGAACTATTTAAGGACTAAGAAACCAACAGCAATTATGCAGAAAACACTCGTACAATGGCAATGCCCAATTCACAAAAGTACCACTACTAATAGTCTGATCAAGTATAAAATATATATTAATGTTTATAATTTTAAAAACTGATTATTTTCGATTGTGGGTTTAATGCAATGTGATTTGCATATTTCAACTGCAGGAATATGCACATATAGGAATTATTTCAATAAACGCTTTTAGACCTAGATAGACAACAATATCTTCCACATCATTGATCAGATTTAGGTTTTGAAATTAGGCATTGCCATATTTGCATGCAGGGTCACTTGGAATTAGAGGATAAAGGAAATGAGTCTTTGACACAAACTCTAATTTTCTAATCCATTTATCTTTTGAATCTGATGATGTAAACCTTTGATATTTCAAACTTAGATTATCTAATATTACAGAATTTATAGTTTGAAATTTTCTAAGGTATTCGACCATGGGTTGCAAAGATATTGGGATTAGAAAATCAGAGTTTGTGGCAAAGACTCAATTCCTTTATATAAAAATTAATATCGTTTTTTTTTTTTGTTCATAAGGAGATTTAAGCTAAAAATTGGACACACTGTAAAATATGTCTTCAATTTAAATTTCCCCCAAAAAGAAATACCCCCCCCCCCTTTCCGCTTGTGAAAACAGATAATTTGAAATTCTAATAAAACTGAAATTATCTATCGTATTGCCAGAAGGTTGCGATGTGAGAGGAATAAAATATTTGTGATTCCCCGAAATCTAGTTTTAAAGCAAGCTGCAGAGTTCAAGTCTACTTTTCACAGAACAGCGGAATAACCCCCCCCCCTCTTCTTCCCCCCGTTACAGTGTCCATAAAAAAATTTTTTTTTTTGAAACATAATTTTTATTTATGATTTGTTTAGATACCATATTTCTAGGAAATATCCTCCTATTAGAAAGTGTGTTTAATCCAGACCGTTCTATACAACCCTATATATATATAATCCAGACCGTTCTATACAAGCTAAGAGACTGATCTCATTTCAAGAATTTTGGTTTCTCTACACTTTCTCTAAAAAGCACATGTTCATACAAATTAAACCAAATATAAACATTTTATAATTTTATTTTGAAATACGTGTACATATAAATACTGATAAACCTCTGATCTGCAACATTTATGTACAACATGTACATTGTACTTAATAACTCTGAATGTATTTATCTCATGTATAATTGAATTATAATGTTCTCTAGGGAAAGGAGAAGATCACAGATATGTTTCTATAGTTTTATTGGTTTAAGAAACTTTAAGCCGTCGACTCGACAATTCTCATTCCGTTGACCTCGATATCAGTGTAATCCCTGTCGTAGTCGCTGATCTCCTCGTCTGTGTCGAACTCGAAATCCTCGTCGCTTTCATCCATGGACGTGTCACATCCCGGTATGGATGATAAAAGTCGGAAAATGTTTTCGTCACCGTTAATTTTGGCACATTGTAAAGCTGTTCGTCCGGCCCAATCCCTTGAGTTAATCCAGGCTCCCGCTCCACTAGGTGCAGGTAGCGCTAGCAACCTAACTAGCCTCTCATCTCCCATGTTGACCGCGTAATGGAGCGCTGTTTTCCCCGATCTACCCTCCATAGCGTTGATATCAGCCCTATGGAGATTAAGGAACCAAAGGAATTCGTAATGCTGTCCAAAGGTTGCCAAGTGGACACAATGCTCTCCATTGTAGTTTGTAAGATCTAGGACGGAATGGAGATTGGAGGGATTAGCTCCGGTACTGATATTTGCCTCTCGAAGCTCATCAGTGGAGATTGGACTTAGAAGAGCTACAGCACACTCCTTGAACCCTCGTTTAGCTGCTAGATGGAGGGGTGTATTCCCTTCTTTATCCCTGATATTTGTAGTAGCTCCAGCAACAACCAACCTTCGAACCATACGAGGTTGATTTACGAGTACAGCTATATGAAGTGGAGCGTAGAGTTCATTATTTTGTATATCAAGGTAGTTTGGATGAGGAGCCATCTTAATTAGAGCAAAGACGACTTCAGTAACACCCTCTGCAATGGCTAGATGTAGTTGGCAGTCACCATCACTATCTGTCTCGTAGTATTCTAGTGCAAGTGATTGTGGACTTTTAAACAAAACCTTTTCTTTTTCTTCTGTTTCAGAAATCCTAACTTCATTCATTCGTTCACAGATCCCACTATCCAATCTTTGGTAATCTCTTGATACATGCCTAGGAGAGCCAAGGCTAGATAAACCTCCAGAAACACAGCCAGAATCATATCTTGGTAGATGTTGATCATAGTCCATTCGAGTAGTAACTTCCACAGCTCTGTCAGTCACCACCCGGCCGTCCATATCGTCTTCATGAAACATCTTGCTGTTGGATAATATAAAGTTGTTTGTTGTTTGTTGTTGTGTGTTGTGTGTAGCAGTGTTCACTGTTAAGCTTAAACTAAAGCTATCTGGGGTTCTGCCTAGAGATATAGTATACAGAAGTATTGTAAAGATTCGGCATGGGCCTCCTTCTGCCAGGCTAGGGCAGGAGCAGAGGTAGTGCAGACTGCAGGGGCCAACCCTCCGTGTCTGGGGAATCCCATAGACCGCTGCCTCCCTGGAATAATACTATAATAACATATATTTAACAAAACACAGTGAAAACCCGGGACTTTATTCAGTTTTTTACACAAATTACTTATTCAATAAAATTCAAATTATAATAAAAAGAAAAAAGTATCATCACCTGCACCCCTTTTGAAAAATGTTGAAAGTGTAACACATGGAAATTATTTTTGAAATTATATTTCTATCAACCAACAAAAACAATATTAAGAAAAACCGTGGTAACGGTGGTAACAAATATTATGATTATATACTGTTATGCAACGTTTATACAAATAACATATAGATTATAGAGCGGTAATTTACAGAATAAAGTGTGTACAAACCACAATGGATCTTTCAAGTCACGACAAGGATGATATTTAGTTTGGTTTTGTAAATTCCAAATCTCAAGGTGTTAAGAGAATTCAGAATTTCCAAGTAGGGTATGGATCAAAGAAAGTTGAAGTACAGATATATCGTGCAGAAATAAATATAAATTTTGTTTGTTTGAATCGTGTATTATTTTTATACACATTTTTCAGAAGAAAGTCAATTATAATCAATAAATATTTTTGTAAAAAAGTAAATGCATTATGCATAGAGATATAAATATATAATTTTTATTAACATTCTATATGAGAAGAAATAATCAATGACCATTTTTGTGAAAAAGTAATTGCTATATCTTTCAACCTTTCATAACTGCAATATGCATATATATAAGAATAGAAATATATTTGTTATACATTAAATTCAATGAAAATAACTATAGAAGATTTATTTACTTTAATTTGACGAGAAGAAATATAATGTGAATATACATTTCAAAATAAAAATAAATTTTCTGTAACCTTACAGTTTTTATTTTTGTTTTCTCCCTTAAAATAGATTTCAGATTTCTGAAATAAATTTTGGTTAAAAATAGATATTTGTCACTTTACATACATGGATATCCAGAAAGAATAAGACTTTAAAGGCGACATAAATCTTTAGTTATTTGATGATCTGAAGATTTAATTTGGTATTCATCCTTAGATATAGTTTTTTAATATAGTGCGCAAAGGATTGAGTCTTTCCCACAGACTAAAATTTTCTTTTACCTTTATTTTTGCAACCTGATAATGTAAATCTTTAATATTTCAAACTTAGACTACTTTATTTAAAAGAATTAATAGTTAGAAATATCCAAGGTCAACGATACTGGGTTGCCAAGATATAGGGAATACAAAATCAGAGTTTGTGACAAAGACTCAATTCCTTTGGCAAAGAAATAAAAAAGTTTACATTTGCAAGAAACCATTTTATGGGCATTGGGCATCATATCAGTCGTCTTGATGGAGTCTCATCCTTTACGGGTAACCCTGTATATAAGAAATAATAAATATAATAACTCAAAACAATTTTAACACTTTACACTTTACAATCGTCTTTATAATAGAATATTTATATATTTCTTGCAATTGATTTGTTTCAAACAATTTTTGATTTCAGAACGACAAAAAGTATTTTTTTGTAGACCGGATGTAGATCCGGCTTAATCCGGTTATTTCTATATAGGTGAGCCGTTCTTGGAATCCCTTGTGTACGCGTAAGGATCCTTGATGACGCAAATGACGCGCTTGGAATTCAAACTTATAGAGCAAGGAGTATTGACAGATTGAGAAACTAAACTAAACTAATTAAACTGGATATATCTGGTGGAAACCTGGATGAAAACAAAAACCTCATCATTTGAATTTAAGGCATTCAAAGCACCAAAAATGACATTCATATAGCTAGCTCACAATACCATTTTGTGTATGCTTCTACTGACAGTAGGACTCTCAAGCCGCCATTTTTCTTCATAATTGCAAAACTCAAAATTTCGCAGATTTTTCAGTGCAAATAGATGGATTTCGAAAAAAAAATCGACATTGTTTGTTTCTGGCACAATTATTCAATTTCGACCATCAACAAAGCGTCCCTGTTTTTATGTGAGTTGCCAAACAAATCGGTTCAGCCGTTTTGACTTTTACTAAGGAATGCACAATTCTAAATTATTCTTATAGTATGTTTACCTCTGAATGGAAACGGTTCCCTTTAAGAGTTTACGCCGATTTGGTTCAGACGTTTCCCAGCTATAGCAAACATCATATATTTGAGCTTTATCATATGGACAACATGGCATGTTATATATATATGTCTATGTCTAGATTGGGTTAATTGCAATTCATGATATATGTAACATATAATCTGTATTAATGCAATCTATGTTATCTATGTTCTTAATGCTATCTACTTTATCTATGATTATTATTAATTCTGAACGATTTGTAAGTTGACCGTATCGGGCTATCCCGGTCAGTTCATTCACCTGTATATAGAAATAAATCAGTTGAGTACTACTCGTTGTTTTACACAGTTGTGCTTTGAGCCTTGAGTTTTGGCTAGAGAGATAGAGAGTCAGTTAGACTCGTATTAGAGTTAGAGTAAAGTAATCATCATCTAGATTTCTTACATATATGTACTTACTATATTGACAATAACAACGTAGTTTATCTAGATTTACTAAGGGGCCTCTGTATTTATTACAGACAAGCAAAATATCTATACATAGCTTTAATGGTGCTTCAGGCATTTTTTCTATTCACAATTTTAGTTTTTAACTTTTTAATTGAATTTTCTTGGCTGATTTTTGTTTAAATTGGTTCATTTTCAACAATAATAAAAGTAATTTTTTGAAGCTACATTTTTGACGGTCAAATTTATATTTAGATGAAATATTTTTTCAACTCAAAAGCTTTAAGATAATTTGAACATAGATAATTTAATTGAATAGTTAACAATTTAATTCAAATGTTTTATTTATGGTATTGCTATCCCCGAACTCGATCTATTAATGTGTTTGAAAATAGTAAATTTGAGGTTCAAAGGAGTTGAGCTGTTGCCACCAATTCAAATTTTCTAATCCCTATATTTTTGCAACCTAATTCAATAAAATGTGGATCTAACATCTACTTTATTTAAACTCTGCAGAGCTTATGTCCATGCACCAACACCGAATTTAAAATCTATTAGTATAAACCGTTCAAATGTCAAACTGTAGATTAATAGATCATAACAGAATTTATACTTCTACGACATTGTGTTACGAAATTGAGTACAAAATTAGAGTTTGTGACTCAATTCCTTTACATGAATTCCCCCCCCAACTTTATTGTTAATGTTTTTTAAATCTAAGACTAAAATGAAAAGTATTCTATTAAAATAATCAATTTTTAAACTTAATTCCTAGATGATTTGAAGTCTAAAAGTTTCGAATTTCAAAAAGAATAAAATCTTTTTTTTTCTAAATCAACGTTATCCTATTTTTAGATACTTACTCCCCCCTTTCTGTGCCTACTTCCTTGAAATTTAATCTAACCCAGTTTTCCTACCATATAAGCATATTTTGAATGAAATCATATGATTTTATTTTAGGAAATCCCCGAGTTATAAATACTATGAAGGGCTGGGGGGAATGTGATAGATAATGTGAGGCTATTTCCCCATACGTGACTCATGCCTCAGGATTGGGCCCCGAAATTTTTCAGAACTAGCAAGGAATCAAAAATAAAAAAGTATACAATTTTTCGTACATAATAGTGAGAAACAGTAAACTGTGGAACAGGAAACTACATTGAAGCAATACTTAACTGTTTATGCTGTTGCTACAAAGAACATAATCTTACTATACGTTATTTAATCAATTATTAAGTGAAGTGGATCTGTTGAAACTGCACTGTTAGAAAAACCCGCTTACAATCAACAGTATTTAGTTCACGCACCAAGCCATGAAGATCCGTTGTAATATATCAACGATAATTCTGCTTGATATAAATTTACGGCCTGAACGCTAAATTCTAATTACATTCACTTGAATTCTACTTACTTCAATCATCAGAAATCGAAGCAAGCATAATCCTGCTTACTTTAATTACAGTGATCCGGCGTTCAGACATCATTTAAAAATTTGATGTGATTCTAATTTTACTTATATCAACTAGTGTTTAGGCTAATTCAAGTAAAATCATTCTGACCAGAAAACATCAAATTTCAAACGACATATAAATGAATGTCTTCTATATACTGGTTATATTGGCCTGAAATATGATGATATTGAAAATTTACAAAATGGCATTTCTAACAGTGTGCACTATTGCTAAATTTCATGTTTATTGGACCATGTTTAAAGTAATAATTTGAGTTTAAAAGTCGTCTGCCTTTTCCAGAGTTTTCTGGTTCTCACAGTACGTTCTGCAATAAAGACGTAAACAATAATAAAACAAGAAAAACAAACAAAAAACTTGAAAAAAACATTTCATAGAAATTTAAACAAAAAAAGGTTTTTGAAATATAAAATGTATTTGAAATGTATATGAAATATAAAAAGGATTTTGATAATAAATATTTAAATAACACTGTTATTTTGGTTTGCAGTGTTATACAGGTTTTGGACAGTCTCTTTATCGAGAGAAGGTTCAAGCCTTTTTAGATTTAATTTTGTTCCGTGCTTTAATGAGGGACAAAATATAATCTAAACCTTCAATAGTGAAAATTGATGTCCAAAAACTTTCTAGCACGTCGTGCCAAAATAATAGCGATACAGGTAATTTTATGAAACGTTTGTGTACTTGTCTTATTTCAATTGCTATTTCTTGATCAAATAAGCTTTGAAACAAAGCAGAAGTCAAAATATAAAGTTGATTTCAATTTTATTTGCACTCAATTGAAACAAATATTTTAAAAATATCCTATATTTTTTTGGAGAAAATCCGGGAAGCAATCAAAACTATTACATAGTACGATAATTACTTTTAAGCACGCTCATTATGAAATTCATGATAAAGTGAATAATAATTAGTAATACATTATAGATTCATAAAATTTTCCATAGGACTTGCTTCGAAGAAATATTTTGTGTATATTGAAGTATTGTTTATTCAGGGTTTTCAAGAATACTGATTACACAGTGCACATTTATGCTAAATAAATGAGTTTGATGGTCTCAAATTAAAATTTTAAATTTTCAGAATTTGTAAAAAATAGTTCTGTAAAATACAAAAGTTAAGACAACTTTTGTATTTTTCATGAATAAGATTAAAAATAAGTGAAACATATGTTAACCTCCATTGTAATATATCAATTTTTAAACTTTAATTTTGACAATTTAACTATGCATATAATTCGTTTTTGAAGTTGAAATCTAGACAGCAATATATATAGGTTAGCTGAAACCTACAATAAGATGCATGCGATCTATATCTTCCTGAAATACTGAAGATTTTAGTAGATTCTTAGTTAATCCTTATTCAAAATTAGAGTTATAAAGGTTAGAAAATAATGAAGATAATTACACAATACACAATAGAGTTACAATTTCAAAATTAAGGTGTGTTACAAAAGTATAGTATTGGAAAGGTAGAATTACGAAGGTGATGTATTACAATAACAAAAGTTAGGCATTTAAAGCCAGGTTGACATTTCTTGAGGTATAAAATCACAAAAGTCTACCATTATAAAAGTCATGTATTACAATAGTTAGATATTACAAATGTTGTATATTACAAAAATAAAGCTTAGCTTTATATTTTTTCAACCTGAGCTGAAAACTTTAGAATGTGATATCCTTAATCCTGTTCTGTTAATTAATCTGGAGATTAAATTCATGAGAAGAACAAGCAATATTTAATCAGGAGATTAAGAAAAAGAGTGGATCAAGCATTAATCCCGATATCCACCATTCTAAAGTTCCCAGCTCTGATGGTGTAAACCTTTGAATTTTCAACATTTTTTACAATTAATTTTAAATTAAATTTTTTTAACAAAATTAAATAAAGCAGTGATTATTTTTTCTCCGACTGTTGTATCTTCTTTATAGCTGATCATACATCTGTTTTCTGTTTCTTTCTTTTAGCCCTTGTTTGCAAGGGACAAATGCAGTTTGATACATATTTCTGATTTTCTTTCAATTATTTGATCAAACTAAATTAGTATTATTTGAAATATCTATTGACATTGGGTTGAAAAAATAGATTAGAAAATCAGAGTTTGTGGCAAAGACTCAATTTCTTTGTTCTCTAGCTGTGTCAGTTTTTTGACCCATTTACTTTTATAATTGTTTAAATCTAAAATCTGTGAATTACGAATAAAATGTCAAATGGCGCCAATTTTCTGAACATCTGGAGCTTTTACAAATTGATGTTAAAAAGACCTTTTCTTTTTGTAAAAATGTTTCTGATAAATAACTTCTTAGCTAGGTTCATTTATGTTTTTATTAATCTTTAGTTAACTACAGAACCTGTAAAAAGATTCCCTAGTTTTATTTTGAAAAATAACCCTTTTTCTCTTCGAAAAAAGAAACTTTTGAAATTTTTAAAAACTTCGTAAATGGACTTTCATTTTTGCCATGCATGCGTGGACTGTTCTTGTTAAAAAATACTATTTTATTTTATAATTTATTTACAATTTTGATTTATAGAACAAAATGTACCAATCAAAGTGATTAGAGAATAGATAAGTTTTAAGTTGAATTAAGTCGAAAAAAGTGTAAAACCTCCATTTTGTTGTACTGTGTCTGCAGTTGTACTTTAAACATTTGTGCTATATCACCTTTTGGGCCCTGAAACATCTTTTTAATTTTATAGAGAAAAAATTTCTTGAAATTTCTTCAATTTTCTCTAAATCAACAAAAAACTTATAACTTAAACTTTACTTTACATTCCTGAGTTCATTTCAGCATAACTTTACTTTACATTTCCAAGTTCATTTCAGCATAAACTTTACTTTACATTCCCGAGTTCATTTCAGTATAACTTTACTTTACATTCCCAAGTTCATTT